GACTAATCGCTTTAAACTGCCTTTTTAAGTAAAGTCTACTAATTGCTTTAAACTCCCTTTTTAAGTGGTCAACTAATCACTTTTAACTGTTTTTTTAAGTTAAGTCAACTAATCGCTTTTAACTCCCTTTTTAAGTAAATTCGACTAATCACTTTTAACTTCCATATAATGTCAACTAATGGCTTTAAACTCCGTTTTTAAGTAAATTCGACTAATCACTTTTAACTTCCATATAATGTCAACTAATGGCTTTAAACTCCGTTTTTAAGTAAAGTCGACTAATCACTTTTAACTTCCATATAATGTCAACTAATGGCTTTAAACTCCGTTTTTAAGTAAAGTCGACTAATCGCTTTTAACTTCCTAATAATGTCAACTAATGGCTTTAAACTCCCTTTTTAAGTAAAGTCGACTAATCGCTTTTAACTTCCTAATAATGTCAACTAATTGCTTTAAACTCCCTTTTTAAGTAAATTCGACTAATCGCTTTTAACTCCCTTTTTAAGTAAAGTCAACTAATCGCTTTAAACTCCCTTTTTAAGTAAATTCGACTAATCACTTTTAACTTCCATATAATGTCAACTAATGGCTTTAAACTCCGTTTTTAAGTAAAGTCGACTAATCGCTTTTAACTTCCTAATAATGTCAACTAATGGCTTTAAACTCCCTTTTTAAGTAAAGTCGACTAATCACTTTTAACTTCCTAATAATGTCAACTAATTGCTTTAAACTCCCTTTTTAAGTAAATTCGACTAATCACTTTTAACTTCCTTATAATGTCAACTAATGGCTTTAAACTCAGTTTTTAAGTAAAGTCGACTAATCGCTTTTAACTTCCTAATAATGTCAACTAATCGCTTTAAACTCCCTTTTTAAGTAAAGTCGACTAATCACTTTTAACTTCCTTATAATGTCAACTAATCGCTTTAAACTCCCTTTTTAAGTAAAGTCGACTAATCGCTTTTAACTCCCTTTTTAGGTAAAGTCGACTAATCGCTTTTAACTTCCTTATAATGTTAACTAATTGCTTTAAACTCCGTTTTTAAGTAAAGTCGACTAATCGATTTTAACTTCTATATAAAGTCGACTAATTGTTTTAAACTCCCTTTTTAAGTAAAGTCGACTAATCGCTTTTAACTCTTTTTTTAAGTAAAGTCAACTAATCGCTTTTAACTCCCTTTTTAAGTAGTCAACTAATCACTTTTAACTCTTTAGTTAAGTCAACTAATCGCTTTTAACTTCCTTATAATGTCAACTAATCGCTTTAAACTCCCTTTTTAAGTAAAGTCGACTAATCGCTTTAAACTCCCTTTTTAAGTAAAGTCGACTAATCACTTTTAACTCCTTTTTAACTAAATTCAACTAATCACAATAAAGTAAAGTCAACTAATCACTATAAAAGCAACAGATTTACTCACTTTTTAAGTAAAGTCAACTATTCGCTTTAAAATCTCTTTT